ATCTGGTAAAAGGGACTTCATTTGGCTGGGGAGAAGTTTCAGATGTCTTCATGTCTTGCTCCTCTGCTCTTGGGCTTCCTCCTTCGGTTAAGAGGTCTCTTCGAATCATGACGGGTCCAAACTGCCCAAATGGTTTCAATTCCTGGCTTCCTGTTGAGTGTGCAGAATTTGCTTGCTTTGTATACATTTTGAGTAAGATTAACAGCTGATCTCTTGAGCAAACGTTCCGGTTTAATGTCAGCAGAATGACACGGGCTGCTTGTTCCCAATGTGTCCTAACAGCTCTGCCGCTGCTAGCAGTGCCCTCGGCCCAGGCTGCCTTCTGCAGAGGGGGGATTTTGTTCAGAACCTGGAATAGTTAATTAGCCTTTACAGGTGTTTGTTACTAAATCTTTAACTCTGAAGTCGTTCCCTCCTTTCTTCCTGGGCAGAGTTTTTCATTTTATGGTTGCATAGTAGGGACCCTTAAGCATCTTTCACCCTGGTAGAATGAACTTTCCCCAAAGAGAACAAATCCAGAACAGGGGCTGAACTGTCTGTTGCCTTCCTCCGCGTGAGCCTGCATGCTGCTGTCCCCCTGTTGGCATTTTGGAAGGTGGGAGGACACCATGCAGACAGGTACCCAGGGGAAGCCTGGCATTTCTCACCGTGGTGTTTGCATAGCTCTTCTGTCTCTCCAAACCACGTATCTTGGTGCTCGCCCTGTGGATGCTTCAGCTCCCAGCTGGATTCAGGGGACCTGCTTGGGCAGGAACGATGTGGGGAGGAAAGGGACAGAAGTAGCTGGAAGCTAAGCAAGGTCTTGGCCACGAGAAGCCACAATTTCAGTCTCGGATGGGCGAGCCTGCCTGGTTTTCCACTGTAGCATGGAAAATTGGATTCTCCTGCAACTGTGGCCTCATTAAAAAGAGATTCTTTCATTAAAGGGTAGAGAAGGGACAAAAGTCCCAGCGTGCACAAATAGTGTCTGAGAGCTTTGTCCCATTACCTTGTATGGGGATGCTGCCTTGTGAGAGCCTGGCTTGCTAGCAGCAGGTTTTCCTTTCA